TTTTTTTTTTTTTTTTTTTTTATGTCCCTTGCTTGTTTGCTTCCTTTCTTTTCTTTTGATCCTCCCTTGGTGGCATCACAAAAATATTGTGAAAATTCTACCTCCTTATTCAAGGAAAAGGATACGTGTTTTTGCTTGACCCAGAGCTTTAAAAGTCAGTCCTGGGGGACCAGTGTGGTTGTGATAGCAATAAACCAAGAGACAGATGCCAAGTGGGAGGTGGAATTCAGGAAGATGAGAAATGCTGGAGTGGATTGGGGATAGATTTTGTCTTAACAAGAGAAGATGTCTTCATAAGCCAGACCTTCCTCAGCATATGAGGAATTGCTTGTCATGTCCACTGGAGAAGGATATCAGTCTGCCATGAGGTTATATATAGGGTCTTGGCAAAGGATACTAACTCTGCAATCCTCCCCACCACACCCTCCTGCAGAAAGAAGGCAACTAACTGGTTGTGGCATTGATAAGAGGACCCCATAAGCCACATTTTGAACACCTCTAGTTCAATTACTCATAATGCACATTTGCTTCCCCAAAGACTCCAAACCTGCTGTTACATATTCAGAGTCAACTGTGATCTGTTAGCTAATTGATGTTGGTTGAAACACAAGGGCAGGACTGAAAGCTAAGTATTCAGAAATATATACTGGATGGATGAAGGATGAGAAAGCAGACTGGAAGGACTGAGGTTGCAGCAGAGGAAGAATTCTGGAAGGAAGGAAACAGACAGAGAGAGACGAAGATATTTCATGCTTGAAGACATTCATTTAAAAAGTATTCAAATGTGCTAAAGAGTGGGTTCCTGGTGGTAAAAGAATAAGAAACACATCTGGAGAACCTGAAGGAACTGAGAGAGAAAGGAGATGACTTAGTAGGGGAGAATGCTGGAGGCACCTAGGAAGTGAAAATCAGAAGGTAGGAATAGAAACAAGTTTAATTACCATTCTGTACTAGGCATGAACGGTCCTCCTGAGTCGTCTCATTTAATCCCCACAATGTCTAGCACAGTGGGTGGCATATAGAAGGTACTCAGAAATACACTAAATATTTAATATTAAATCAACAAATGAGTAATCAATCCTAAGAGATATCTATTATCAATTACATCTTACAGATAAGAACCTGAGGCCCAAAGAGGCTAAGAAACTTGCCCAATGTGTCACAGCTAATAAGAAGCAGAAGGAAAATGACTTCAAAGCCTGGGTGATTTGTAAGGCTTCTTCGAGGAATCTAGAAAAGATGGTGCTTCTGTGTCTCCCGGAGACTGAGCGAGGGAGAGAAGAATGAAGGGCCAGGGGAGGTGGGATAGGGAAGGGGGGAGAGGTCACTTGGAAAGAATTCTTCTAGAAGGATGGGGACCTTGTGGGAAGGCATCAAGGAGGGTGGGCGACAGCCAAGCCAGCAAGTGGCAGCATCCAGGTTAATACAGCGGGTGAGTTGGGTGGGGCAGGACGGAAGCACAGCCTGTGAAGAAATTGCACAGGGTCTCTGTTGGGCAGGGATGGAGAAGGATGGCTGCAGCAGTGCAGGGAAGGAGCTGGGAAGGCTGGGATGGATAACACTAACAGCTTTCCCATGCGGCTGGGGAGAGGGTGTGGCCTGGCACGGGAGGGGAGGCTCCACGTGTGGCCTGCGACAGGGAGAACGAGGCTTGGGCAGTCGGCGGGAGACTCACCTGTAGGAGCTGCTCACCGCACTCGCCACCTCCTCGCGGATTTGCCGATTGAGGGCGTCGGCCGCTGCACGCCCCTTGCCACCCTCCGGGCCAGCGGCCTGGGCTTGGGCGGCGGGCAGTGGCGTCTGCTCGTACCCCAGCCCCTCCGCGCGACGCACCATCCATGCGGGCCCGGCCTTCCTGCGTGTGTCTCGCTCGTCCGCCCCGGACGCCTTTCCGGCCGCCGGGCCACCCTCTCCTGCCTGAGCCTGGGCCTCGGGCTGCGGCATTTGCTCCTGCCCCAGCCCCTCTGCGCGACGCATCATCCAGGCGGGCCCGGCCTTCCGGCGTGTGTCTCGCTCGTCCGCCCCGGACGCCTTTCCGGCCGCGGGGCCACCCGCTCCGCCAGGCGCCACTTCTTGCTCCTGAACTTCAGCGGGAACCTGCACCGGCCAACGCTCCTGGCTCTGCGGCCGGCGCTTGGGCGCCCCGAGAATAGGCGCGGAAGGCTGGGAGGACGCGGGGATCTGCACCGGCTTGGGGATCCACGGATGGTCCCCGCGGCGAGGCAGCGGCCAGGCGCGGAAGTCCTTCTGGTACTGGGTCTCGCGCTCAAAGGGCGCGTCGGACGGCTGGTACTCGCTGCGCGGCCGGCAGCTGGGCTCTGGCCGCTGCACCTTCCAGGCGCGGTAGTCCTGCCGCATCACCGAGTCTGCGGGGCCCGCGCCGGAGGTGGAGCCGGACCCGGGTGCTCGGTGGCCTCCGAGTACTTGGTGAAAACCAGCGGCACGGCGATGTCCGCCTTGTCCAGCTGGTTCCAGAAGCGGGCGATGCAGCAGGCCCGCGTGATGCACGGCCACGCCATGATGCTAGCTGCAAAGCTGGCCCTCCCTCTTTCTTTTCGTGGGTCTAAAGCAAGTCTCTAATCTCCCCTCAGCCCCTTTCCCCGACCAGCCAACGTGGTTCCCACCGTTTTCTCCCCGCCCCGCGATCAGTCTGAGCTACCTCGCCGGCCTCCCTCAGACAGCGCCCGGGGAGAGCTGTAGCTGGAATGAAGTCTGGGAAGTCCTTCGATTACCGGCTGCAAACGCCTTGGGGAGCACAGTCTGCTGCGGGCGCCGAAGGGCGAGAGGCGCGGCGTCCCGGGATCCCGGCTGGGCGTCTGGGACGCGCCCCTCCCTGCGGCTGCGGCAGCGCGCAGAGCCCGGCCGTGCGAGGCGACACGAAGCGAGGTGGCTGCGCGCTTAAGCCATGGCGCAGAGGAATGGCCGGGCGGTGTGGCCGCAGGGTCCGCGGGCTGAGCACGACTGTCCTTCCCGCAGGCGTCCGGTCGCAGCCGGCGACCTGGCAGGGCCTTGAGGCGATCACCTCCCGTGGAGACCGAGCATTGCTGCCTCCACCTTTGCCTCGAGTGGTGCTACAACCGCTGCGACCGCCGCCTCTGCTGCTAGGAAGCGGCCTGCTCGGTGGCCTCCGAGTACTTGGTGAAAACCAGCGGCACGGCGATGTCCGCCTTGTCCAGCTGGTTCCAGAAGCGGGCGATGCAGCAGGCCCGCGTGATGCACGGCCACGCCATGATGCTAGCTGCAAAGCTGGCCCTCCCTCTTTCTTTTCGTGGGTCTAAAGCAAGTCTCTAATCTCCCCTCAGCCCCTTTCCCCGACCAGCCAACGTGGTTCCCACCGTTTTCTCCCCGCCCCGCGATCAGTCTGAGCTACCTCGCCGGCCTCCCTCAGACAGCGCCCGGGGAGAGCTGTAGCTGGAATGAAGTCTGGGAAGTCCTTCGATTACCGGCTGCAAACGCCTTGGGGAGCACAGTCTGCTGCGGGCGCCGAAGGGCGAGAGGCGCGGCGTCCCGGGATCCCGGCTGGGCGTCTGGGACGCGCCCCTCCCTGCGGCTGCGGCAGCGCGCAGAGCCCGGCCGTGCGAGGCGACACGAAGCGAGGTGGCTGCGCGCTTAAGCCATGGCGCAGAGGAATGGCCGGGCGGTGTGGCCGCAGGGTCCGCGGGCTGAGCACGACTGTCCTTCCCGCAGGCGTCCGGTCGCAGCCGGCGACCTGGCAGGGCCTTGAGGCGATCACCTCCCGTGGAGACCGAGCATTGCTGCCTCCACCTTTGCCTCGAGTGGTGCTACAACCGCTGCGACCGCCGCCTCTGCTGCTAGGAAGCGGCCCCACCCTTTCTGCAGCTCTCTGGTCTGGCTGCTGCCCCAGAGAATGCTGCTGCCGCGGCCGCGGCCGCCTGTGCTGCAGGGATGTGGCCCCACCCTTTTCTGCCGCTCAGCAGGGAAAAAAAAAATCCAGGAAAGATGCTGGGAGAAAGCGCGCTGCAGGAAAAAAAATCACCTGCTGTCGTCAGCACGCGTTGCTGGGAGCTTGCCCTCTCCCTTGCCCCTCCTCCCGCAGCTCGGGCAGCTCCTCCCTCCGCCGTGACCAGACAACAGCAAATCTGCGGCCTTGGTGGGTTCAAGTCCCACGCTCGTGATGACTTGCTGTCCTTGCGCTGATTGTTTCACCTCCAGGAGCCCAAGGCTCCTCTTTTGTAAAATAGGACCAATCACTGGAGGAAGGGGGTATTAAATTTAAAAATATGGAGTGAACCCCTAGTGAAATGTCTGTCCCAGATTAGATGCTTACAAAATGGGAACTGCTGTTATTGGTCAAGTTACTGGGCTGTATTTGAACCCAGTTTGGCTTGCTCCTGATTCAAACAGTTCTCAGTCTTATGCACAGGACTTGCTCAGATGTGTGCAGATGGGAGCCCCAGGGCTGGTGGTGTCCTGGCAGTTCCTTTCCTAGGGGCTCCTTGGGTAGGGGTGTCTTAGATCCTCCCAAGAACTATCCAGTCTCCATTCAGCCCAGAGACCACAATGGGGGAGAGGCAGTGAAATGAAGATTCTTGAAAGGGGTGTGTGGGGGACAGTGCCCTGGGAAAGGGTAGGACCTGACCTGCACGGGTTTTCTGGCACGTTCTTGCCCTCCCCTTCCCTTTGCTCTTCTTCTGCTTGGAGGCAGAATAGATTTTGGAGTCAGACAGACCTGGTTTGGCTCTGACACTTACTATCTGTGTCACCTGGGCTAGCTGGGTCATCCCTGGGTCTCAGTCTCCTCATCTGTAGAAAGGAAGAAATAGTAGCTGCCTCAAAGTGGTTTTGCAAGGATAGTTAACGACTCAGGGCAGAAGCTTTGAGTCAAATCAAATCTGCAGGGATTAAAATCCTGGGTTTTATATTCTTTTGCTGTATGGCCATGGGCAAACCACTGCTACTTTCTGACCTTTAGTTTCATCTATGAACAGGAGCACCAATTTTGAACTTGCAAGGTTGTTCTGAGAATTAAAACTAGAAAATGCACTAAAAGTGCTTACTACAACATCTGGCATATAGCAATGGCTCAATAAATGTAGCTATTAGTATTCAAAAGACTCACCCAGAAGACCCATGGGTGCAGATTCCCAAGCAAGCCACTTGGACACCTTCTCGGGGAGACCTCTTGTTCCTCCAAGTACCTTTTGGCCTCTCCTTGATGTCTCTCCATTTATGTCTCCTGCACTATCCTCCACTTTCTATCCCTAGCTACATCCACTGGACTTCAGCTCTTTTCCCCTCCAATATAGGCAGAGTTTTTAGCATCAATTAAGCTGGGAGCATTGGTGTTTCTGGGAGAGAAAGTAATTTATGTGTTTAGGTTAAAAACTGATTGCAAAACATAGCTTCTCCCCCCTCCTCCCTGCCAGAATCAAACAGGATGAGAAGACAGCTCTGATTAGTCAATTATCTGCTGAACTTCCTCCTCCTTGGGTCTTTGCCCCTTGGTGATTAGATTTGAGTTCTATAAATAAAATGATGCCTGGCACTGTCTTTCAGATGTTAGGAGATACATTTCTGTAAACAACATAATCTGGTCTGACACTTCCTCCCCCCAGTCTTGTAGAACTCCCTGGGATTTGGCCGATGTCATTCCAGTAGCGATTTCTAAAGGTAAAAAGTACTAAAAATTGAAGTGGGGATGTCTATTCTGAGAGTCATTGAGACTTTACCCTTCTTTTATTTAGCAAGTCTAGTCTCTTTGTGCCTACTCTTGAGCCTTGGGTATTGTAGGATGTGGATGCATTCTATCGCAGGAGGAGCCCTCAATTGGAGGGGTGTGTTGTGGAAGGACTGGGAGACAGACACATAAATAAATAATTATCAAACAGCATGGTGTCAGCATAACAGAAGTAATACAGGTGCTGAATGAATGACCAATGAGAGAGGAGTAGGAGTTCTTCAAGCAGGAGAGATGTAAGGAAAAGCGTTCCAGGCAACTTCATCATCAACATCGCCTTCTGCATTTATTCATTAACACGTTCAATTGTACAACCTCCTTGAACCATCCAATGCCTTTATGGAATAGATAAATTTAATGGTCATCCATTCTGGCGGTAACAACAACTTATTATCTGACTTTTGAGGCCCATTCCTCTCCTACTTTCAGGCCATGTGGTTTGGATGGGGTAATCCTACCCTCTCCTACTTTCAGGCCATGTGGTTTGGATGGGGTAATCCTACCCCACCCACCTTCCAGGAGTGACCATGTGACACACCTGTTTAGCAGGGGACTGCATCACTCCAGACAAAGCAACTAGTTTAGTGATGGGCATGTGATCCACACTGGACCAGTTAGAAGAAATCTGAGACTTTAGCTGGAACTATCCTAAAGAGCTGCTCTCTCTTTCTTACTGGAATTGCTAAAATGGGAAAACATGAGGCTATTGTTGTATGTGATCATCTTTGCCATCACTGGAGGTTGGCTGCCTAAGGTTGAAGCAAACAGGGAAAATGAGAAGAGGACACAGTATTCTGGTGATGTCTACACCCCAAAGCTCATTCCCCTCTTCTTCCCCCTAGTAACAAAAGCCCCCAAGTTTTCGCTGGGCTCTTGGTCACCCAGCCAGAAACCACATTTCCCAACCTCTCTTGCAGCAAAGAACAACCATATGCACTTCCTTAAAAGAAATTGCTAATGTTTGACTTTGTTTTTCTCTCTGTAGGGTAAATGTGGACATGATGGAGGCGAGTTATCATGTGGGTGCTTCAGGCAGTTCTTGAAGGTACAGCATGGCAGTTAAGAACGTTCTGGTGCCAGGATTTAATTCTGGGGAGGGGAAGATAGAAGAACAAGATACAAGAAACCTGTCTTGGATGACTGCATAGGGCAGAGCTGTCTAGCAGCCTTGGACCACCTGCTTACTGCTCGACTGTTATGTGAGAGAAATATATACTTCCTTCTTATTTGAGCCACTGCTTTGGGGATCTCTGTTTTAGTATTTTAGTCATCTGAGCATGTAGATCTGGCCATGCCTGAAGAAATCTGAGGTGTATGAAAACAGCATGGAACTAACATACTAGAAAATAATACCATGTTATTGGAATGGGAGGGAGTGATCAGAGTTAAAGTATTCTGAAGTCCTTATTTGTTTATGAGGAGAGTAGAGATATTAACTTATTAATCTAAAATGCTTATTGGGGCCGGCCCGGTGGTGCACTGCTACAGTGCGCTGCTTGGGAGTGTGGCGGCGCTCCCGCCAAGGGTTCGGATCCCACATACAGACCGGTTCCCACTCACTGGCTGAGCAAGGCGCGGGCGCAGCACCGAGGGTTGCGATCCTGTTGCCAGTCCCGGTCCGGTACAGGTGCGACACTGAGGGTTGCGATCCGTTGCCGGACACGAAAAAAGACAAAAAGGAAAAAAAATAAAAAAATAAAATAATAAAATAAAATAAAATGCTTATTAATCTAAAAATTCACATTGAAAGAAAGAAAAGGGAATATAGAAAACTTGATTAAGGCCAGAACTAAGCAAAGGAAAAAAAAAAACACGTCAAATAGCAAATACAAAATAAGGTGGTAGAAATATTTCCAAATCTATTAGTGATTGAGATAAGTGTAAATAATCAAAACTTTCTAGTTAAAAGACAGTGAATCTCATATTGGAGAAAAACACAAAATAAAACAATGCAACTATGCCATATTTTCAAGAGACATATTTAAAACCCAAAGACACATAAATATTGGAAAAAGGTGATGGGAAAAAGATGTATTAGTTAAATACTAGTCAAAAGAAAGCTGGTGCTACTATATTTATATCAGATAAAATTAGTCTTAAAACAAAAAGCATTATTAGGGATATAGAGGGTCATCATATAAAAATAGAAGAAACAATTCACCAGAAATATATAATGTGCTTTGCATTGAACAATATAGCTTCAAAATATATAAAAAAAACTTTAAGAAAAAATGTACAAATCATCATTATCATCATCATCCTCAAACAATTACAGATAGATCTCCCATATGACCCAGCTATTCCACTGCTGGGAATATACCCAGAGGAATGGAAATCATCATGCCAAAGGGATACCTGTACTCCAGTGTTCATTGCAGCACTATTTACAATAGCCAAGAGTTGGAATCAGCCCAAGTGTCCATCATCGGATGAGTGGATGAGGAAACTGTGGTATATCTACACAATGGAATTCCACTCTGCTATAAAAAAGAATAAAATACTACCATTCGCAGCAACATGGATGGACTTAGA